GAATCCAATCCAATTGTTGATTAAGTTGCATTACAAACCATCTAATTTTTTTAAAAAAGGAAAATTCTATAATTTTGACCAGTAGAATCTGGGACATAGACCTACAGATCCAGAAAGGATCCTCTATGCCTTTAAATCCAATTCCTTGCTCTAGACAGAATCCAAATTAAAGCATCCTTGATAGATGGTTTGTCCAGTTTTCGTTTTAATGCGTCTAGTGAAATGATTCTGCTGCCTGACTGCTGTTACTGCTAAGCAAATATGTTCACACTTGCCTCACTGCAGAAAATGTGCTAAATATAATGAATCCTATTTGATAATTCAGCTTCATTACAAAAAAACCATTTTAAGTGCAGAGCGATTTCTATCAGATATTATGTAACAAGCATTTTTACATGTGAAATATTATATTACCTCCTCTGACCATATTCAAGTCATCCAGGTAGAGGCCTGGTGAGATTTGAAGCTACAAGGATGAAGGAATGTATCTATATTCCTTGAGGCTATTTAAAGACTGTGTCAAAATAAGTAGAGAAATGCTATTGTTATATCAATGTTATAGAAGTAATATTCATGAGTTATTGAATTCCTCTTTGTTTTATTTACTTATTTATTGGAATCCCCCACTCTGTCTTCCCCCAAGCTGATTCACAGTCAGTGGTATTGAAAGCCAATGGGAAATCAAAAATGGCTGGGAGGGAGGCACCTCCTCTTGAGGAAAGCTGAACCTCTTTTCCATCACCACCTATCGGGATTTAACCATATTTGGGGATTTTTTGGGGGGAGGGATTAACCAACCAGAAGGCACATGGTTCTTAGTTGATGGCAGCAATCAAAGCTCTAACAACTGTGCCCTTTTCTTGAGATCAACAGGATCAAACTCTCCTCAGATAATCAAGCAAGACTCTCAATTTACCTCAGTCAATTCCATAGGACCTGCCTAGCCAGAATTCAATTCTGAGTGAATCCAAGCATCATCTGACACATGCTGAAAATAGTCCTCATAATGATCCTGTAGAGATGTTTCCAGAGAGACTGAGTAAATTGAAATGGGGCTTCAGTCTACAGATGCAATAAAAGTGGATAAATAAGTGCATTTTATCATCATCGCAATCCCTAATAATATACTAATAATCCCTAAGAATCTGTTAATAATCCCTAAGAAATTACAAATAATCCCTAAGAATCTACTTGAGGGAAGTATGCAGTGGGGGTACCCCAAGGCTTAGGCTCAGTATAGGCTAAATCAATGATTTAGATGAGGGGCTAGATGGGGAACTCATCAAATTTGCAGGTAACACCAAGCTGACAGGAACAGCCAACACTCCAGAAGATAGGCTCAAGACACAGAAGGATCTTGACAACTTGAACATTGGGCTCTATCTAACAAGCCTCCGTGGCTTGGGACCATGCTTAGCCTTCAGAACAGAAGACCCATCTTATTTGAAGATGGGACAGAAAGGTGGTCATGCAGAAGGTGACCAAAAGGTTTTCACTTTCATTTTAGAATGAGGATCATGAAATAATGAATTTAAGTAATAGGAAGGAAGCTTCTGGTGCAATATTAGGGGAAAAAAATTGTCTTAAGCGTAAGAGAAGATTGATAGTGAAATCAGAGACTCAGAAAGATCGTGGGATCCCCTTAACTTTTCTTCAGGCCCTGAAAATTCAATATTTCTCTGTCTTCTGGGTGTTGAAATCCCTCCCTGTTGGCTGGAGAATTCTGAGAGTTGAAATCCACACATTGTAAAATTAGCAAGGTTAGAAACACTATGCTAGACAGATAGGAGACAGAGGAAAACCCTTAATTGCTTTCATTCATGAGACAACAGCACCATGAAGTGGCCAGTTTGGCTTCTGTAGCACAGGTAGCAAAGCCCTCTGCTTTGGCTCAAGCGTTCTTGAGCATCTCCACTGGTGATGCAGTCTTCCATTCTTATGACCCCCTTGCTCAACCTGACCGCTAACCCTAGATCTAATGGGAAAGCAATTCCCATAATTTTCTAGCCACCTTGCTCCAGGAAAACCAAATTCCACAATGCTTTAAGGGATAGTCCGAGATTATGGGCTACAATATTCATTTCCCACCCAATATTTTTGGTCTCCCAAGACTATAGAGACAGACACAACACAAAAGGTTCAGCGCCCCCCCCCCCCCCCCGCTACAAATGGACCAGCATCATTCTTGGCAAACACATGGAGTCCTCCTTCTCAAAGAAAAGTTAACCTTATTTATTGCTAACTATTAATAATGAACAATAATTAATTAGCATCTGAAAGTCAACAGATGGGGCAAGCTCTTCTAATTCATTAACCACCTTAACAACAATTAATAATTACTTGATAGCAGTGAATTAGCACTAACATCTGGGAGGCACAGTAATACAAGACAACAAAGGAACTCCATGGCGCTGGAGAGTTTTGCAGGATGATTAGGGCAGGGCTCTCCAACCTCTGGTCCATGAACCAGCACTGGTCCACAGCATTCAAGCAACCAGTCAGTGCAAACAAGCAAACCCTCATCTGCAGGATGCAGTGTGCAAAACCACGCCCCCCTCTTGGCTGCAGAAAAATATTTCTCCATGGAACCAGTCCCTGGTGCCCAAAAGCTTGGGGGCTACTGAATTGGATTGGGGTCTTTCCAAAGGGGCCTCCTCCAAGCTCCAGGAAAATCAAATTCCACAATGCTTTAAGGGATAGTCCAAGATTATGGGCTACAATACAAGCTGTGGAGGACACAAGGCTAAGTCACAATTAACAGAGATTTCTCTATTCCTGTCCTGAACCAAAGGAAATCCTCTTCGTCTCCATAGTCAGACTGCTGAAATGAAGTACTCGACAACAGCCAGGAACAGGATTTTTTTTTAACCTTGGCTTTTATGAAAAACCTGCCAAGGATTATAGTTTACAATAGAACAATATTTAAATTATATTAATTAATAAATTAAACATGTTTGGAGCACCCAAAAGTAACTACCGTATGTGGGTATCAGAACTCTTTTTCTTCAGGTGAATTCTGCCCAATTGGTTACTCAGCAGCAATTGGGAGTTAATGGCATGTTGGGAGATTTTTTTTTTTTTTGAATAAAAAATGTTTTATTGACGACAGCAAAAGCAGTGACTTTTGTGTTTGATGTTTGGGATGCACCTATTTTAAGGGCGCTGTTCAATTTTCTTAGGCTTCCTCTCTCAGGCTGGCAGAAGATCCAGGTAATTCTCATTTACTGAACACTGGCACAACGGGTTTTGCAAACAGCAAATATCCTACAGCAATTGATACCAGTTGTGTAACAATGCCATCATGCACAGGACAGAGAATGATGTTGGTGATATAAAATCATGTCTCTCTAGGAAATGGCCATGGCTTAATCAATGGACCCGCCTCCTTTCAGGGTTGTGTTCAAAGGAGGCTTCATCACACTGTTCAATTTCTAGCAATCACAGAGCAGCAGGGCTTTCTGCAGGAGGTCAAAAAAGTCAAAATGGTGAGTAAGACCATGCAGCAGAAATCCTTTTTTATGCCCATTACATGTAAGAGTTGGGACTTCAATTGTGCAGGAATGGCTGCTATCTTGGCTTTTTTGACTCCCCACCGCAGTGCCTCTGTTTAGATGGGGTTGAGGAGGGGGTCTCTATGAGCTGCTGTTTTCCCCTCATTTGCTCAGTTTATGTTTGCAAATTGAACAATGGTTTGCTGAATTAAGAGTGCACAAATCACTGAGTATGAATCTGGATAACTTGCTGCAACCATGCTAGGTAAACCAAGCTTAGTTTAGTGCACTTTGTGTGCTCAGGCATGATGGGCAGAGTCGTCTCAAACAATCATCATCACGAAGGCCGCATGATGCGTTTCCTGCCCCACAAGCATCCTTCCCAATTCACTGCTTGGCAGTTTGAGAGAAAGTCTAGGCTAATTTAGCCCAGTGGGTAAGGCCGGAACAAAATCTATGCCTCCTACAGCCTCTTATGGCTAGTTTGCGTGTCTGAGAGGAGTCCCTGCACATGCGGTGAAATCAGTTAAAGATAAAGGGGCTTAGGTTATGGCAATGGAGCTCCAGATAGAGGAGCTTAACAGAACAATGGCAATGGAGCTTTACTTTCAAAGGAACATTTATGATTTTAACCTGTTTCTACCAGTCTTCTTGAGATCAGTGGAGTGCTGGGACTCTGAAATCAATAGCCTGTCTTCCTCTTCCTCCTTTCCTTTCTGTATTTATTTGCCACCTTTGCTTCTACAAATAACTCAAGGCAGTAAACATATCCAACACACCTTCCTCCTCCTCTTTACCTCACAACAAACCAACCTGAATTGGTAAATTGGGCTGAGAGCGAGGGACTGGCCCAAGCCACCCAGCTGGCTTTCATGGCTAAGGTGGGACTAGAATTAAGGTCTTATTTTATTTGTCAAGCATGTATTAGATAACATTTATAAATATAAACATGATTATGAATACATGAAATAGATACAAATAAAAAGGAACATTGGGACATCTACTTTCTAGCCTGGTGATTAATCACTAGAGTGGAAAACAATAGAAATTTCCTTCCTTCCTTCCTCCCTCCCTCCCTCCCTTCCTTTCCTTCCTTCCTTCACAAAGTTAAGTTATATTGAATTTAATTTAAAGCAAAGAATATTGCAGTTAGTGTCAGAATTGTTTTCTGCCTTAATAAGATGGGAAATTGTTAAAACTGAGGAATCTGGCATTTTGAAATCCAGATCTAATAAGCCTGTGTTCAGTTTAAACTACAATTTCATTTAGGGCTATGTGGTGAAGAAGGGATTTTCCTTAAATTCTAACTGACCTTATTTATATAATTGAAGGTTCATTTTATTAAAAAGAAGATACAAATAGTGAAAAAACATTAGGCCCTTGTGATGCAAATACCATCAGTTGTCCAGACAGGTTTGGAAACAACATATTTTGTCCACAGTTGGGGAGAGTGGGGGAATGAAGTTCAAATTAAAATGTTGAATTTTAAATGTGATTGTTTTAATCAACCCATTCCTATCACATAAGCCACTAATAGTTTTTGGGCTGAGGCAAGATATAAGCCCAATAAAGAAGTACATTTATTATTAATTTAATAACAAAGGGAATTTAAGGAAGCACTTTATTCAAACATTCCAGTGAACAAAATGCAATACATTTATGCAGATATTTAAAGAAAAACAAATCAAAATAAACATTACACTATTCCACCAAGAGTAATAACTAGAGATTTGTATTTAGCAATCCAATTCCTTGGCACTCAATAATATGGGCCTCCTTGGAAGACTCTTCGTCTTCTGATTTTGCCACTGTAAACTTAGCCTGCAAACAATAAACAAAAAAAAGCATGCTTTCTTAAATTGTTCTTCGCATAAAGTGGACTCCAAGCAAAGTACAACACACACAAAAATTCAAAAATTACAAATACAGGTAAGTCCTCCCTGCAATTGGGACCAGCAATGTCATTAAGCCAAAAGTCATGTGACTGCACCATACTTCCATCAGTTCTGCTACAGTCATTTATGCAAATCACCATCGGTCATTAAGGGCAACATCGTATGACCATTACTTATGATTTCCTGCCAGCTTCCCCATTGATTCTTCTTGTGAGAATTCAGTTTTGAAGGTCATAAATGCTGATCATGCAACTATGGGATGTGGTCACCATCGTAAATGCACACTGGCTGTGAAGTGCCAAATCATAATCATATGATTGCAAGAACGTTGTGATGGCCATAGGTTCAAGGACCTATCTTAAAACTTTCCAGTACTACCATCAATTTAAACAGTTGCTGAATGAGGTAGTCAATAAGGGAGGATTACCTATAAGGTCATATTTATAATTACTAAAATGTCAGCATCAGTTGAATTCTCCAAAGAGAACATTCTGAAGTCAAAGTGCCATCTCCAAAAAGGCTTTATGTATCCAACATGTGCTGCTGCTAATGATATTCAGGGAAATTTCGAGTTTGTATCCTGCTGGCATGTACCCACTGTATAAAATGTGGGTGGTTAAAAGTATCTTTAGGCGGATTACTCCATAATCCAGTCAGTAGACAAGGCAAGGCAGCTACCTCAAGAAGTAGGTGCTAGAGATTAGACTTAATGTATCAAAAGTATTTGCCATTCTTTCCTGTTCACATTGAATTGTGGAGGGCATCCTTGTATATCCTTTGCTTCCCAGTAAAACCATCCTGTGCCAGCCCTTTCTTCACTAGAGATCATGCCATACCACTAATGGCCAGACTGACAGCATTGGAAGATCAAGTGATCTATAAAGAAAACTGCTACTTACTTTTGTCAGCAGTTCTGCAAAATGTATCGCAGTTTCTGTGTGCAGTGTAATTGGTCCAGTTTTTATTCTCGATTTCCCATTTGCTAAAGCCATGAAAATGATCAACTGGAGGGGATCAAAAATAAACCAGCATTATGTATGCCTAAAGGGTGCAATACTCACAACAACAACAACAACAACAATAATAATAATAATAGGGACACATTCTTCAACTATCTGACTGGAGCATCTTTTTATGGGATGCCTTTCTAGGAGTTTTTGCTTGTACCATTCTGAATGATCTGAGTTGATTACACAACCAGTCAAGTCACTGAAAAACGTACAGTTGCAATCCTAAACACATAATTTGAACTTAAAAATATTTATAAAGCAATGTTACTGGTTATTATTGCTTAATAAAATGTATTAGTCAGAAAAGGTTCTACCAGACTCCTTTTGATTTACCACCATAGATTAAGATGACTGTTCTCCTACAACGTATTTTATCATCCCTATTGTAAAATGCACTAAATCTACCACCTTCTCCATTTTTACATAAGGTTCTAATCCTCTGGAAAGATTCTGAATTTCCAGGCTAATTTTTAGCTTGCGGTTTTATTATAGTTGCTAGTTAAACAGAGTTCCTTAGTGGGCCAGTTTGGTCAATCTTACTGAGTGTTGAAAACTCAAGCCATAATGGCTCGAAGAGGGGTATCATCACTTCAGTAAATTTTCATCCCAAGATATTTTGTATTAGTGCAACTATTTAGTGCCATGAAAACATTTGTTTTCTTTCTTTTTTTAAGAGGCAGGTTTACAGAAAAATAAGGCTACATAAAAGTAAGCATAATTTTTTTGTAAATGTCTATCAAAATGAGAAAAGTTATAGAGGTTTTTTTCAGAACTGCAGGTGGAATTGAAAGGGAACCTTTCATAGTGAATAATCTGCTGAATTAAGTGGTTTGTCAGATCCGCCTTTTCATTTTCATTAACAGCCATGTTGGCTGTAATTTCTGATTCCAGAAAATCCCAACTCCAAAGTATAGGGGTTCCTCTCTTCTTGCACATCTCCCAATTGAGGTATGCAAGAAGAGAGGAAATCCAGGAATCCATGTAGCTCAAAGCTCTCCTAAGACATCAGTCTGCTCCCCCAACATACAGGGGTGGGATTCTACTGGTTTGGCCCAGTTTGGGTGAACCGGTAGCTCCGAGGATCAGCTGGGAGCAACTGGTTCACTCTGACGATCAGCTGTTGGGCCCATTCACACACCCTGGATCTAGTCTGTACTTTATATCCTGGTTTTCAAGCTCAGCTGATTCGCGTGGCACAGCTGTTTAACACACATGGATTGCAGGAGAAGGTTAGTAGCAAATGCTCTGTGCATGTGTAAGTCACACGTTCACCAAACCGCTTGTTACACTGGTTCAATTACACCCTTCCCTGCATAGGAGAAAATTAAACCTCTCAAGAGCTTAGCTAAGTTTTTTTCTCCTTCATGGCATACAGCAGAAATGGTGTTAAAAACAAACAAGAGAGATAAAGTCTCTATTTGTTTTCCAGTGAGGTTGGTCTGAAATTCACCAAAATCCTGGAAATGTCAGACTACTTTCTCATTAGTATAAAGCTCAGGAATTATTAGAAATGGCTTTCTTTCCACTTAACTCTCTGGCTGTGTTGGATTACAATTCAAATCCACTAGTAAGTGAAGATGATGGGATTTCACAGGCTGCCATAGCTTGTGGGCAACAGATTGAGAAAAACCTGGATACTGAATCATTAACTCCTTGGAACCCTAATCCAGATGTATGAGCAGGTATACATATGACATTTCATCTTGAATTTATTTTTGTGTGTGTGAGAGAGACTTCCTATATGCAGATCTTACTTGGTCCTGCAGATAATCATCCACAGCACCTCCATGCCGAAGGTTTCCCAGCAACATCTCTGCTGCTTCAATTCCAACTTTGTCTGCATTTTTACCTGCAAAAAAAATTAAGTAGGATTTAAATAAAATGCTTCTAACAAGATTGCCTCTTAATAAATGAAAATACGTTCAGAATAGATTTCTATCTTTGGATGGCTTAATTATAAAAGGCATTCGTTCACCTTCACAAGGTAGTCAGGGAGAGTTATGATGAAATTTGATATCAGATATCGTAAAGTTATGTTTGATTTAGAATGAATTTGAAGTTATATTTGATTTAGTATGGCTATTACGGTTTCTCCCAAATATATGCTATAGCAGGGGTGTCAAACTCACATGGTCATATGACATATCATGACTTTCCCCCCCTTTGCTAAAATAGGGGTAGGGGTGGCCAGCGTGTGACGCATCCAGCTTGCAAGCCGTGAGTTTGACACCCCTGTGCTATACTAAGAACTCAATTTAGTGAACCTTGATACAATGAACGTTGGGTGCAATGAACCCTAAGCCACAGACATTGAAGCACATTGACATAATTATGCAAATGACATATATGGATGCAAATGTTGTCACTTGTATTGTGAACTAAACACTAACTCAATGTAGATTTGCTTTTAAAATATATTTCTGACTAACAGGCATCCTCACCCTTATTTCATTAACATAAGGTATCTACCTCAATCTTCACCAATCAGTTATGCTCAAAATGGATTGACAATTCTGGGAATTACAATCTCAACATAGGGGAGAACATCAATAAATCAGAAAGAGCTTATCAACATTCTAGAAGGCTCTCCTGATTCCCTTAAGATCTACTGATTGATCCTAACCCATCCTGATCCATGATCAATTCTTAATGAAAAGATATTCCCTTAATTGGTGTTCTTCCACTCCATTTAAGAAATTATTTTTGTTGTCAACATTTTTAAGGAAAAAGTTTTAAAATGATATACCTGCAAATATGTTTCTGGAGAAACAAAACACGCACATTACTTAACCCTGAAAACAGCAATCAAAGATAACCTTGTCTCTCAAACTTGGGGATTATTTTTAACAAATATATCTTCTCCATATCTGTTTAATGCCTGTACATCTGGTTTTCATCACAGCTCTCAGCCCACATTAACCCATATTTTTGTGCTAATAAACATGTATAATATATGAATTTGGCCAGAAGCGGCAAAATTTCTTCAAATTCCATTGGAGGGATAATTATTGTTTAATCTCATGGCCACCACCCAAAATGACAGACACAGAGTTGTTAGGTTTTCTCCTCATTTTCTTTCCCTAGTAGCAACATATCATAGATGTGGGGAGATGCTGGTACTGGGAAAATAGGACATATATTTCTTCCACTTAATTATTTAGATGGCTAATTGTTCAAAAATAGTTATTTTTTAAATTTAATATTATAAGATGGGATGTGACAGCAACACCCTATGCTTATTTATCTATTTCTCTTTCTCTCTCTCTCTCTCTCACACACACACAGACACACACACACAAATAACTCAAAGTGGGGAATATGCTGTACTTATTTTTTAAAATAACTGAAGGCAGTAAACATACCCAACACACCTTCCTCCTCCCATTTTCCCTTTGTTGGGGTTGTGGGTAAGGCTGAGGCATGGTGACTGGGCTTTCATGGCGAAGGCAGTTTACTTTTTCATTATGCCACTAAGGTGTCTCTTATCTTAGGTTTTCCCTTTGCTTTTCCTTCCCTTTTCTTTTTTTGTTAATCATCTCTCTTCTCCTCTTTTTTCCCCTCCAACTTCACTTAGCCTTCTGCCCCAACTTTCTTATAAGGAAGTCTCCAAATAAACCTTTACTTACTTTACATTAAACAACGATGTTCCCTGTCATCACAGCCTGTTTTTCCAGCTAATTTAGAAGAAAGACATTGATTCAAAGGGCAGAGAAAGCAGATTCTATCTCATTCTCCCCTCATACATGTTATCCTGTAGTAAGATGGGAGGCCAATACATTTATGTGTGTGTGTGTGTATACGCACATACACATTTTCTCTTCAGAACTGGCCTTACAGACTCAGCCAGGACAAGCCCTCTATTTGTAATAAGATATCTTTTGGAACTAGAAGACCCATGTTACCTTATTGGAGCTATTATTTATTGATTAAATTTATATGCCACCCAGAGCTGCCTTATCAGGGAGATGGATACCATACAAATGAGATAAATAAATATGTCATAATGAAGCTGTCATCAGATAAGAACACAGATTGGATATAATCCTGAGAAAGGAGCTGGAGATGTGCTTCTAGGGAAGACATTGCCATGGTTTTGGTTTGAGCCTTTTACAATATGGGTACTGAGGAGGCCAAGTCACATGAAGTGATGTAAAACTCTCACCTCTTTTACCAAGGGATGATCCTGCCAGCAAGCAGCCAGTGGATGTCTCTGCAACAATTCTAAATAAAGTAAAAATTCATAAAATTATATGAAAACATTGAAGCTCACCCTACCTTTTCTCTCCCCAAAAACAGCTCACAAGAAACCAGTTGACTTCCTATGGCAATAAACTGGACTCTCAAATGACAACGAAACTCACTCACATAATTCCCGACCCTGTTCCAAAGGCCTCATTATCCGGCTCTCTAACAGTCTGAATATTGACATAAAGATCCCGGATCTCTTTCCTGATGCATTTCACTGCAGCAGAAGCCATCTCTTTGGCTACCTAAAGTAACAAAATGAAAGGAATACATGGAATTCCAAAGTGATTTCCTTCCTATGTGTATTTTACACAGAAAAGAGGGTGAGGAGAGATTGCAATTTTGCAGAAATTTGCTAATGATGCCTCCTGAAAAGGTGATCTAGAGACTGTTCACTCAGACTCAACAGTATCTTGCCTGATGATCTCTGCCATTTGTAGAGTTTTGTACAGTACAACTTGAACCCATTTCAGACTCTACTTGGGGTTTGCATGGCAAGTCAGGGGCTAAACTCAAGTATGTTGGGGGAAAAAATAAACACGAAAGTCTTTAAATTGAATGAAACACAGGAATAGAACTACTGCTCTCAGGTTTGTTGGTGATAACAAAAACTACAAGTTTACTAACTACAAAATATATACATAACACTACTTCTGGAGAAGTTCTGGAGACTATGTCAAAGATTCTGGATAGTGTCAAGCAGTTAAGGACCTCAGGTTTGATAACCCTGCTACAGAAAACCTTCTCTCAGGACAAATTTCAGCCCTGATTTTGTCTAAATCAGAGAAGCTTTATAGGTGACCTGGCTTATTTGACTCATTCAGCAGATGGGAGACTGATGTAAAAACAAAAATGGGATTTTTCTAAAGCTATCAAATAACCTTCTGGACAACGGGAGAGTCAATTTATATTATACACTACAATACATTATATTATACAGTCGTTATATTATACACTAGCTTTTTCACATAACATACAGTACTTGGCAGATACTTAGGGTTTTGAGGGATTACTTATTAATCTTTTGTAATGACCTATTCAGTTGTACTTTTATAATTAAGCTCTGAGCACATTCAGGGACAGTCATAATCACCATCTTTCAAAAATGAAAAACTACATTGCAACAGCTTAAGCTATCCATTCATCTTGTCCACTATTGTCAACTCTGTCCCAAACCAGCTTTGCCATATCTTAGGCAAATGTCCTTTTACTTGCTTTGGTGTCCTGTTGTAACTAAAGATGTCAATTAAAGCAGTGGCGCCCAACCTTTTGGGCACCAGGCACAGGTTCCATGAAGAGAGGTTTTTCCATGGACCAGAGGGGGTGTGGTTTCGTGTGCTGCCTGCATTCCACAGATGGGGCTTCGCTTGTTTGTGCGGCCTAGTTTCTGGCATGCCGTGGATGGGTGCCAATCCACAAACTTGGGGGTAGGGGCCCTCTGAATTAAAGGACTGGATCTGGGATCTTCTTCAGGAAAAGTATGTACTTTACAATGGCGCTATTTATTTTTAGCCTTATGACTGTGTCATAAATTTCTTAATATGACAACAAGTGGAGGAATATAAAATGAACACTCTACTATGCAGTTATCATAACTAAATTGCCCATATTATTTTTCAAGGTAATGTGGCATCTTTCTAAACCATAGTTAGTCTAACAATAGCTTGTTGATAACTAGAGGACTGGTGCATTCCATCTAGGAAATCATAAGCTATTATTTACAAATTCTAACATGTTAGCTAAACCAAATTATATTATAACTTCAAGCAGTGTGAATTTAATCCAACTTTGGATCCAAATCTTACAGGACAAGCCCCTTTCCTCACTTAAATCTATCAGACATACTTACTTTGATTGGCAAAGCCCCAGCTACAAAGGCTCTTCCATGTATCTTGGTCACTGTACCACGGTCAGTTAAATTGATTGGGTTTAGCTGCTTAACCGGAGACATTCGGACAACCACTTCACCACCCCCTTTAGGATAGTAGCCCCTATTAAAAAATAATGACACACAAGCAGAGCTCAAAATAATGAACTGAAGGGGACTTTTTTTGCCAATTAAAGATAAACCTTCTCAAACATAAATAGCAGTCCTGCAAAAGGCTGGTTTAATCTAGTGCTCTATTTCCTACACTACCTCATTAGTATCTTTAATAAGCCCACAAGCAGGATACAAATATCAGGGGTCAAAAAAGTAAGTATTCATAGCTGAGGCAGATGAAGAGCAGAAGGAGCTATCACTTCACTCTTTACTCCTAAGGTACACCTAGTCCCCTTGGTGTAAAATCATCTGGCTTTGAGTGATGTGGAAATTCCAAAAAGAAGATGGAACCAGGACAAAGAAGCGAAGGAGAAAACCAAAAGGCAATTCAATTTAATTGAGCCATAATTTAATTAATTAAATAATTAATAAATAAGTTGTCCAAGTTGCTAAATAAAAGAGTTCAAGGGAAGCTACTCTCTAGGTTCCAGAGGCTGCGCTTTTACTTTTAATGGCCTCTGCCTTAGAAGGCCAATGAAGCAGGTCATAAGCTAAAGGAAGGAAATATCTTTTGTTGCCAAAATGGAGGAAAGTTATAGGAGATGGAAACCTGCAATCATAGAGACAAGATACAACTCAACATGCAACTGGGACTCACCTCCTTTTTATGTCACAGTCTAAAATCAAACCAAACTTCTCAGCTATTGGCTTGAAGACCTGGAGAGGAAATACATTTATGAAAAACGCCGGTACACCCTTTTAATGAATAAAGAATCTTTTAGTCATGTTGCCAGGTTGATGCAAAACCCAGTATATTTATCTGTCTGAAGGCCTCACTCCTATTTTATCCGAGTGTGGAAAATTGCAATTTCTATGGACAATAGTTTGCTGTCAAAAGCTGTAATTTCTTCATGTTTTAAGGACAAACTATGATTTATGCAAATCACTTCTATGTGCCTATGACATATTCTAATCTGTCACAAATTAGAAGTAGGATCTCATAGATACTCCTTTGGATGTAAAAGAAAAGGAATGGAGCCAAGTGTTTTCAAGGCCCATGATGTCTATCATTTTATGTGACACGAGGCAATGTAGCAGATATTCTAGAGAAAGAATTAGAAGGAAGGATAATATACCATTTATTTTCAGGTAGACAAAATCATTCTCATTCTCTGTGTTTTGAATAAAAGAGAATATTTGTATCTCGGGGTTAACTGTGTAATCTTTGAGGTTTTCTGGTTGGTTGTTGTTTGGTTGGTTATTTTCCTGAAGACGTTTCAT